ATATACATATACATATACATATACATATACATATATATATATATATATATATATATATATAAAAAGTCACTTCATGTGAGATGGGCGACTATATAAATGTGACAAATAAATAAAATAACATCCATTTACATCAGTAATAACCTGTTGTATATTAATCGGGAATCCTTTTTGAACCAAAATGGCCACACCTTTAGCTATTGCTGAACTATCTGTGAGATAAACCTGTTTCACTCAGCCCTTCATTAATAGAGATTTATCCTGTTCCATTAGATGAGTCTCCTATAAATAAGCAATATCTGCCCTTAACAATTTTAAATATGCTAAAATTACAATATGTTTCTTAGGTTCTCGCAGCTCTTTTACATTAAGATGAACTAACTTCATCCATTAATTTTATTTTGGCCCACTTATCAGTATTTACACAATACCAATTTATTTTATAACCTGTACCTTTTAACAAATATTTAGTAATGAACTTTTCTATAGTTAAATATTTATCATATTTTCTAATATTGCTCACAGACGTAGAACCTGCATAGGAACTCAAAGTAATATTCAAATAACATTGAATTACATATGTATATAGAATCTGTACTTGGAAAAGAAAAAGAAAAACATGATTAAGTGCAAAACAATAAAACAACAAACAACATTATTATAGAAATTGGACAGAACCCTAAAAAACCCAAAGAAATAAATAGAAAATAAATACACAACTTCTCAGTGGGATAGCACTATCGCTCATCTCTCTTATAAGGAACTATACAGAACAGTTTCGAACCACTCGTTTAAGCTAACATGGAAAGTGTAAAGATATAGTGTAAAAATAAAGGATAAAAGACTTTTGTCCCTTTAATATATCCATTAACTTATTACTGGCAATGAATTAAGAATATGCTTGTTAGTATAGGGTGTCTAAACATAGTATTGTTCAGGATCATAATGTGATTTGTCTAGTTTGGACGTACCATGTTGTGTAAATCTAGCCTTGTAATTTTTATATGATGGTTTATAGTTTAGTGCTGTGTGTGAACCCAGGAGGTCAACCATGCTTAAACTACCTAGAGCTTAATGTGACACGGGGACCAGGTCATTCTGTATAAGACAATGGTGACAGACACATAAGCCCTTGAGATCATTCCCATTCGAAGCTTCCAAAGATTGTAAGAAATTATGGGAATCTATTTTTAAAAGATTATCTAAATGGTGATCAACAAAACACTGCCCCTGTCCCCAGCATAATAAAGAGCAATGCCCTTCCCCAAATCTCTCTAATGGAAGCAAAATAATGAATGGCATAATCGCTAACTATTGCAGTCAGACTCCGTAAAGATGTATGTATAATTTTAAAAGTTTAGTTGTAAGGTTATATGCAGCCTCTTGGCAGGAGAAATTTGGAAGTGGGATTTCTTCTATTCCTAAAGAGAAGGAGGAAGAAGTACAAGAAAGAAAGTTTGAGGTTCTTGTCTGGGTTCTGCTGAAGAAAACAGGACAATTAACTAACTGTGCTCGCATACAGGAAGGGATTGTGTTTTATTTACCCTCCTGCAGGCAGGGATTCCCACAGTAAATAAATGCTGTGCACAAACTAATCCAATTAAAATGGCTTGGCTTCTTTTTCAGGAAAAGGAAAGAGACTGAAGCAGGCCAAGGAAGAAGCCACAGCAGAGATAGACCATTATAGGCTCCAGAGGGAAAAGGATTTCAGATGGAAGCAGTCTAAAGTAAGTGACAATATCAAGGAAAGGTTAGATCAATGAAACTTCTCCAGTTTGAAGTCTTTCAGAGGCTTCTGACTAGCACACTGGCTATGCTGGCTAGGGCTGATGGCAGATGAAAATCAAAGTGTCTGGAAATCACCCATTGGGGAAAGCAGGAACAGTACATTTTAAGAATTGGTCAAACGTTTCATGTATTCAGATTCCACAATCCTTTTGTGATTCTGTTTCCACAACTTTAAACTTTAAGTTGGTTCTCCATGCAAACCATGAACTGCATAAATTCCTTTATTGAGCAAATAACAGTAGGCTTACCTACCAGATCTGATATGTTGATTTGATGTAAATAATACAAAATATTGAAAAACAAATAAATTCCTAGAAATAGCAACAGGAAATTCATTAATTAACAGCTCTTTGGCCCAGCAGGAGATGCATCTCAAGAAATTAGTTTTACAGGCTCTCAATATTTGTGCTTTGCTTTGTTGCAGTAGTTTAATCCTGACAATATTTAAGAGCAATTAGGTGAACTGTTGCAAGTTTTCATGCACCGTAAAATTCTGAAACCATATTCAAAGGAACAGTTGCATTTAGTGTGCAGTCTTCACGCTGACTGCATTTGACCGAACACTGATTTACTGTTTTGGGAATCTCCTCAATTCCTTCTGCCACACAGCCACAAGTAAAAAATCAGAAATATGTGCAGCAGTTTTCAACTATCAACGGTTTGTCTTCTTCCTGACCAGGAAGAAACAGCAGGCCAGGTTAATATTTAATGATAAAACTGCAACTAGTTGGAAACAAAAACTAGTGGGAAATAGGAAGTATGTTCATATACTTAACATGACACTTTGACTTATCAGAAGGATAGGCACCCTTTTTTTTTCAAGTATAGCATTCCTGTAAAATCTGTTGGAGGCCCCATCACATATCAGTGATAGAGGAGCTGGGTTAAGGGAGCCAGGGGTATTAAACTAGGCCCAAATGTAAGTGGAAGCATGACGTGTCTTTCCTTCTGAGAGTTCTTCTTCTGCCCTCTTCTTTCTCCTTCTCACATCCACATCCACCCATATATCCATGTACCCACACATAAACACACACCCCACAGACACATTTTTTTCTTTCATCCTCCTTGCCCAACATGGCTTTGAAGGGAATATTCAGAAACCACTACAGAAATAACAGAGAAGCTGGGAGTCAGGGGCATATAACTCATTATTATTATGGTTGGTCACACAGTCAGCCAGATGTTTAGACTGGATTGGGATTTTTATCCACCTATCGAGTCCTTCCCAAGGACCTGGGATAGGCAGATGTTATTGTTTGATGGTCTTAAAGGTATCGTCACAGGATATAAGCTGTTCCAGGTAAAGCTGCCTTTTGGAATTGACTGATGGTGATTTTGTCAATGCCGATGGTCTTCAAGTAGTGAATTATCATCATCATCATCATCATCATCATCATCATCATCATCAAAAACATTCCTTAAGCCATGGGAAAAGGGATAGTATTAGGAAGAGGCTGAGGCTGGCTCCTCCCTTGATTAAAGGGGGTATAAGAAGGAGGGAAGGTAAAACCCCAGCAGATTTGCAAGGTTCTGTTACTATAGTCTACCTCAGTAAGCCTAGTTCAACTTTTCCTAAGGAGGCTGTTTCCTGATCTGGCCTATCTTAATAGACAGAAGAAACCATTCTAGCCAGAGACCTCAACTGATTGACACAATGAACTTTTGAAATTTGGATGAAGGCTGCCTATCTCTCAAAGGTCACAGTGTGATCCCTGGGTTAGCATTAAATTCATATGAAGCCACTGTTTCTACGCACTAAAGGAATCAATGAGTAGAAAACTTAATCTTATATCTACTATCATTCATGTTAGTCATTCTTGAAGATCTTCTCTGAAAAAGTAGAGAAAAAAAGAATGGTGAAAGGGTTTGCCCACATATTTGGCAGCAATTCTCCAGTATTGTACTTAGAATTCTGTAAGGTTAAAACATTTAAACATGTGTGAAAAGGAATCACAAAACTAGAAGAAAGCAGTCAGAGCTTGGAATGTATGCATCTGTTTATAACATCACCTTGCTAAATTGTTCAGTTGACGTAGAAATATCATTTAATTACATGGTAGGTCAACGTTGTTTCCACCACAATCTGTCAAATATTTAGTCAATTAAAAACAAATAATCATGAAACCCCAACCCTGTACTTACTGCTCAGGCAAATTCATGCTTAGTGTAGAGTGCTGCGCAATACAGTTACATACTTCTTCCATTTGTCCACCAGTGATTGCTACACCAATATTGCATTGCCTTCAGTAAGTATATCCACTCGATAAAGTGATTGCCTTTACTTTTCCACAATTCCTACACCAAAATACCAGAAAAAAATAAAATAAATCAACCCCCCTTTTTCCAACCCAGATTAATTGTGTGAGGCCTTGGGGGAGAATTTTCTCTACTTTATGTATAGCTTTTAAAAGCATGTGTCTGTATGTCTGTAAGTATATTGATTGATTGATGTTCCATCCCTCCTTCAGGAGTTCAAAATGGCATAGTTAGCATTTCCTCTTACTATTTTTTGCCCACAATAACAACATTTTGAGGTAAATTGGGCTGAACTTCCATGGCTGAGAGTGGACTTGAACCCCAGTATCTCTGGTCCTAGCCCAGCATCTAAACCACTATACTACACTGTCTCTCATTAAACAGAGACCTAAAACCTATGCTCTAGTAATTAAGGCAGGTAAAGTAATATTCCCCATGTGCTTCGAACTACATGAGATTATGGCAATGGAGAGCTGGCTAAACAGTGCCAGACTTGGGGCAATGTAACCAAATTGCAAATCTTTCTTAAGCATGAAGGTTGGTAGCTGCCTAAGTATATTCACCATTTCTTATTGTCCCACTTACATTTATATCGGGATTATTAGAATTAGTTTTATTTAGTTATAGTGGTGATGAGTGCACTGTTGGTAGACCTGAAAGACCAGGCTAGGGGCAGACCATCATGGAGAAAATCTATCTGTGCTGTGGTTAAGAGCCAACAAGGACTTCATGGCACATAATCAATTATTTAGGAACTATGGGTTTGGTTTACATATTAGGTATGCATATGAAATAGACAGACAGACAGACAGACAGACAGACCTTTATTCATAAATAGAACCACAGATAATCCTACCTAATCAGGTTTCCAAATCTAGAATAAAATTAAAACAGAGTTTTATTATTTCATTGTCTAGCATGGAAGAAGCATAAATGGTTTGTTCAACAGAATCAAATTATACTTGAAAGACATTTTTAAAGGTTCAAACCTGCCAAATTACATTAAAATCAGTACATGTTTTCAAACTCTGATCTTAAAATGTTATTTTTAAAAAAGTGTCTGCTTTAGAACAGTGTGATTAAATTTGTAATGATAATAAACCCTTCTGTGTAGAACACCTAAATCAAATTTTGGGATCATCATCATGAGGCATTAATAATTCTCTCTTTCTCTCTCTCTCTGAGCCTTCTCCACATTTGATGTGCACCTCTAATTTATATAATTACTGTTGTGAAAAACGAAGCATCATTACAAGCTTTATTACCATTACTATTCATCCCATAGTGTTTTATTTTTACCAGTTCTTTTAAAAGTATTTCACAGTTATCTAAAAGTAATCTACCAGCATCTCCCATTAATTATTTTCCAAGCTATAATGTGAAATTATGTATTGCTAAGAGATGCTTGAGGATTTAGTTCAATCCACATCTTTAAGTGAAGCAAATGATTGCACTGTCCCCTTTCATTTTCACAGTTTTCCAAATTTTGTGATTTTATTCTTTTCTGGGAAAAAAAGACAGATAAAAAGTATATTTTTGAGTTAAAGTACATATAAAAATGTGTCCGAATTTAGGGGTTAACTTATTCCACTGAGTGAGTAATATTTTACTAACTGATGCTGATGAAGCAATTGAAAACCCTAAATTGTAGCTTAGCTAAAGGGACTGGGTATTTGTAATTGCTTAATTGTACAAATTATAAGGTGGAGGCCTGTTGGTCAACTGACCATTGACAACGCAATGTGGCTTCTTCTGGATGGAGTAGGACACTGGAACATCAAATACAGAGCTTGAGTGTTAAGCAATGGTTATATTCAAAAGCTTCCTTATATGTTTCCTAATCCCATTATTTTAACAGTTGCCAACACATTATGAAGCTAGTTTAGCAGGGGATGGCAAACTGCGCCAGCTTTGTAGACAATGCAGTAGTTTTAGAATAACTTCACTATTTTTTGGTTGTTTTTCTGGACAGAAAATGATAGAGAGAGAGAGACGCACACACAACACATGCCTCTTCATCCTGTAATCCTATGACCCACCACAACAGAGGCAAGATGGACAAGGAAGATAACTACCTAAGAAAGGACTTTTTGAGTGACAGCATCATGCTGTAAAAGAGCAGTATACAAACCACAGAGAGCACATGAGTTCTTTTGAAACCTGTATGGAAGTTTTTGTTTAGTTTACAAATTATACCTTGTTTTGTCTTTGTAGATAATGGGCTCTCAGGATAATCTATCAACAAAAATAGATGAAGAAACTGCAGCAAAGATCCGAAGCCTCACTAATAATTATCATAAGAACATAGAGAATGTGCTCGGTCATCTCTTGGGCAAAGTATATGAGATCAACCCTGATATCCATCAAAATTATACATACACAATTTAAATCCTCCATGGGAATATTTTAAAAGGAGCAATACTTGCAGAATGAGATAGCTTGATGAAGGTGGCAGATTTGGAAGTATCATTACATATTAGCTTATTACCAATTATATTTTTATCACCAGCAAGGACCCAACAGAATCCATTTGGATTTTCTGTTTCCAACAGCCAAATTGTCACACATTATTTTACTAGAGTTTTTTAAAAAAATATATTGTTGCTTTCTGCATTCCAGCTGGATATATAATATAATCATTAAGCCAAAGCATATTCTTGAGCGTAATATTTGTAATGTGGCCAGTTCCTGTAGGCAACTCTCTGGCATCATAAATTTCTACCCTCACCTTTTTTTCTTCTTTTTTTGTAGCAAAGAATGTATCACTTAAATATGGGCAAACACAGAAAAAAGAATTGCTTGACACCAGCAGCTTTTAAGTGGGTGTCTTTTTTCTTCTGATGTTCTCTAGTGCTTGAAAAGTATTTTGTCATATGACTTGGCTTGTTGTAGGAAATCTGTTTGCCTCAATATGTGGAGGTTTAAAATAACTAAGTATACAATAAATATTATAGATATATTATTAGACTTAAAATTAACCATGTGTCTCTAGTGTGGTACATATGGAGAAACAACCATCATACTTATTGGATGCCTTTACATATCAGACATAGAGTAATTGCCCTGAGTTATTTCAGAATTAGAGGCTCTTGTCTGTGAGTTGGGATTTGGCTAAAATAATCCTCTCTCTCATGCATAGTATCAAAAACAAGTTTGCTTGGTCCCAACATGGGTAGGCATCAAACACTTCTGAAATACATTCATGGGATATGTTAAATGTAGACTTCAACTCACAAGAAGTGGTAAGCAACTTCACCTCTAAGTCTAACTGATGGCATAACTCAGTTCTCCATGGGTCCTGCACAGTAGACTGCATAGGAACAAGTCAACAAAGACAATTTCTGCTGCTGAAGATCATGCTGTGGAGATCAGTTCTTCAGTGTTGACACAGTGCAACTTACAGAGAGAAGGGCTCTTCGATCTTGCTTCTATATTGAGATCTATAGGAAGTGCAAAGATATGAATTGAAAGGGCTTACAATAATTGCCTATAGTGAGCTTCTGGAAACTGCTTTGATGTCAAGAAGTGATCTGCTTGGAGGTCATAACTCAACAAAGTGAATAGCCAGTGTGTTGTGAGAAATTAACTGAGGCTGCAGTCTGATACGTACCTACCTGTGAGTAAACTCTGGAACTTACTTATAGGCAAATAAATATAGGCTTTCATGATCAAGGACATTCAAAAAGATGAGTTTCTTATCCTTTCCTCTTCCCTTTGCAGTCACTTGTGCCTCTCAGAGCTCTGCAGCTGAATAGTGCAGGATGATCTATGGGGTGACTTGTTGGAAGAGAGAAGAGAAAATATTCTTTCCATTAATTTAAGTTAATCTCTTTTAAGAGTTAAATTCTGCAAAGCACCTAGGACGGTTCCCATATTCCTAATTAATGATATTACAATTAATGTTGTGGGATGAATTCCATGGACAGTTGCTATGGAATTCTGTCTAAAGTCTTTTTAAAAAATAATTATCAAAATTGTTAAGATTTTACTTACTTATAAACAAATGTCACTCTGGTAATATTTTCAGCAACACTCCCCCGCCCTTGATTCTGCTCCAAGTTTTTCTAGCATTTGCCATTCTACTTGCAGTATTCCCATGATTGGTAAAATACACATTTTTATTTTTGAAGGCAATTTGAATATAATAGAAAGTTGAATATCTGGATGCCACTTTTCTGATCTTCCATTTCTTCAGAAGATGTCTGTTCAAATTTACTAAAATACTTAAATTATTGATATAAGCATATGTGAATTTTATTGAAATACATGTTGTATTTTGGGTTTTTTTCTTGAGAGATGGGGGCAATGCTGCTTTATGGTCCATATGTATCCTTCTCTCTAGATCAGTGTTTCTCAACTTTAGCAACTTTAAAACGAGTGGACTTCATGCTGGCTGGGGAATTCTGGGAGTTGAAGTCCACTCATCTTAAAGTTGCCAAGGTTGAGAAACACTGCTCTAGAAGCTCTGTTTTGGAAAGCATATGTAATAACTGTGTTACTGCCTTACTTAATTTTGTAAGGATTATTGACACAGAGATCGCTATTAATTTTAGAACATTCGTTTTCAAAATCAGAATGATAAAGAATCTGGAATCTATTGCACTAGTAGTGGATGCAATAATATTATAAAAAGGTAGGAACTCCTTGTACTATAAGGAATCTGTGTGGTTGCAATAGAACAGCAAAAGGATAAGAACCAGCCTGTCTGCCGTTCGTGTTCAAGTCAAAGAAAGTTGAATGGCCTGCCTGCTCCAATAGTTAGAATCTAGAATCAGAGACAGATATCCAGATTGGAAAAGGGCAGGAACAATGTCCAAGAGGAAGGATGATTTAAGAGACTTCCTAGGAAGAATAAAGCTAGGAGCAGCCACTTCCCACGATAATCAATGAATTGCTTCTGGAGAGCCCATAAGGACAGCATGACAGAATAATCTTCTTCTGTGATAACCGTTCAGAAATTGACATTTTGTGGGAATAGCTCTGATCCTATTTTCTGAGCTACATTCAGCCATGATCTCATGGATAAACATCACCCAGAAATGTTCTTCCATTAACTTCTCTACTCCCCTTGAAGTAGCTATAAGCCAGAGGTCATCATTACATCGTGTAGCAGCAAACTCCATAAATACTATGAATAAAGAAATAATTAGTAGCAATTTAGTCTAAAAATCTACAGATGGGGTGCTTTTGTGGAGACATGGTATCAGTTCTGTTGCTGGCTGACCACAGTGATTGACCACACCTACACAGACTCAGAGGCAGAATAAGGAAAAGTAGAAAATGGGAGTATTTTTCCTTACTATGGCTAGAGTATGCTTTCACTTGTAAATATGTTTTCTTCTCAATTAATCATATTTATTTGTTCATATTATGGTCATTCTCTTTTTTCTATTTGTAGATTGCTAATTTAATTTCGTCCAAATACATAAAGGTTGCAGTTCTACTCTGAGGAAAGGGGAGGGGGAGGGGGAGGGGGAGGAAAGGAAAGGAAAGGAAAGGAAAGGAAAGGAAAGGAAAGGAAAGGAAAGGAAAGGAA